TAACGACCGATGCTTCGGCTCACGGCATAGGTGCAGTTTTGTCACAAGAGGGTCGTCCTATAACAATGATTTCAAGAACATTGAAGGACAGCGAGGTTAACTATGCAACAAATGAGAGAGAGTTATTGGCCATCGTATGGTCACTTGCCAAGTTAAGGCACTATTTGTATGGGGTGAAAGACATTAATGTCTTCACTGACCATCAACCCTTGACCTTCGCAGTTTCGGAATCCAATCCAAATGCGAAGATCAAAAGGTGGAAAGCGCGCATTGACGAGTCTAATGCACGTATCTTCTATAAACCTGGCAAGGACAATCTGGTTGCGGATGCCTTGTCAAGACAACAGCTCAACGCTGTAAATGAACAAGAGATTGAGTCCTGCGCAGCAACGATCCACAGTGAGGTATCACTTACCAACACCATCGAGACAACAGATAAGCCCTTGAACTGTTTTCAAAACCAAATAGTTATAGAAGAGGCGCGTTTCCCCTTAAAACGAAGTTTTATTCTTTTTGGAAATAAGAAACGCCACTTGGTCAACTATACTTGCGTCGAATCGCTGCTAGACGAGCTCGAAGATGTAGTTTCACCCAAATGCGTGAATGCTCTCCACTGTAATTTACACACGCTTGCAATGATACAAGATACATTGGTTCGAAGATACCCGGCCACAAAGTTCTGGCACTGCAAAAATCGCGTAGTGGACGTATTGGCAGTTGGAGAAAGAAGGGAAATTCTCACGGCCGAACATAATAGGGCCCATAGGGCTGCACAAGAGAATATTAAGCAGGTACTCTCGGAGTACTACTTTCCAAAGATGGCAAAAATAGCCAATGAGATAGTACTAAATTGCAAAACATGTGCTAGGGCTAAATACGATAGACACCCCAAAAAACAAGAGATTGGGGAAACTCCGATACCCTCACATGTAGGAGAGATGTTACACATAGACATTTTCTCCACTGACAGGAAATACTTTCTCACTTGCATCGACAAGTTCTCTAAGTTTGCTATTGTCCAACCGGTCCCTTCAAGAACCATCGTGGATCTGAAGCCAGCGTTAATGCAGCTGATGAATTTTTATCCAAAAGCCAGATCCATCTACTGTGACAATGAACCGTCATTGAACTCAGAGACCATCGTGACTATGCTCGCAAACAACTATGGGGTCAGCATTTCAAATGCACCACCATTGCATAGCATCTCGAATGGACAGGTTGAGCGCTTTCACAGCACTCTCTTGGAGCTAGCCAGATGCCTAAAGATCGATAAGGGCATAAGTGACACGGTAGAAGTCATTTTACTGGCTACAACTGAGTACAATAAGTCGATCCATTCGGTCATCGACCAGAGACCAGTTGATGTGGTTCAGGCTCAACCAGATGAGCCACAAGAGAAAATACAAGAAAAGATCAGAAACGCTCAGATGACGCTTAGAGCTAGGGAGAACGCAAATCGGCAGAATAGGGTCTTTGACGTTGGTGACAAAGTTTTGGTCAAGTCCAACCGACGACTCGGAAACAAACTCACACCTTTATGTGATGAGAAGGCCGTGGATGCAGACCTGGGGACCGAGGTCCTCATTAGAGGGAGGGTGGTCCACAAGGACAACCTAAGATGACTCTTGTTTTTTTTTATTTTTAAGCCACTAGGCAAACTTGTATAAGTTAGATATAGTTTTTCAATTTACTTTTAGCCACTTGGCATAGTTTTTATTTTTGGTGGTGGGCAAACCTTTTAAAAAAAAAAAGGTTGCTAAAAAGAAAGGAAACAACCTTATTTCACAGGTTGGGATCCATAGTACTCCTTTTCTTATCAGTGGCTTCGGCACATGTCACCGACTACTCGCGTGCCAAGTACATTCCCATCATCGACGGCGAAATCTTGATATGGGAAGAATACGCCTACGTTAGGCACTCGGCAAACCTCTCAGAATACGTGCGAATTGTGGAAGAAACGGTCAAATTAATTGACATGTTCCCGCTATCCCACATGAAAAAACTTCTGAGTGTGGACACGGTACATCTACAAGACCTATTGGAGGCGTTAGGCACGCATCATAGAGTCGCCAGAAGTTTAGATTTCCTAGGGTCCATACTGAAGGTTGTGGCGGGTACACCTGATGCCAGGGATTTAGAGCAGACTAGATTTACTGAAAGGCAGCTAGTAAATGCCAACAATAGACAGATAGAAATAAACACTAGAGTTCAAGACCAGCTTAACCAGTTGACATTCACTGTCAATAAGATTCTCAAGATAGCCAAAAACTCACAAGTTGACACTAGCCATTTATTCGAGACACTATTGTCTAGAAATAGAATGCTGGTAATGGAGTTGCAAAATTTAATGCTTGCTATTACTCTTGCAAAGGCTAACATTGTTAGCCCAAACATTTTGGACCACTCAGATTTGAAATCAATTTGGCTAGAGGAACCCACCAACACTCCCATAGGAGATCTTATGTCCGTTGCGTCCGTAAAAGTCCTTCAATCCACTAACACTATACATTTTATAATTAAATTCCCAAAGATTAAACAAGCTTGCAGAAAAATTACGATTTATCCTGTCATTCACAAGAATTTCATATTGCGATTGCCTGACAACGTCATAGCCGAATGCGATGGAAAAACCCACACACTGCAGAGTTGCACCGCTTCACCTGGAGCCACCTTTTGTCGTCTGGCATTAGAGAGTTCATGTGCCAAAGAGCTCCATGCAGGTGGCACGGCACACTGTGAAATCCAGCCGAGCAACCTGGAAATAATCACCCACGTAGATGATGGAATCATCATTCTTAACGACGGGTTCGCAAGGATCCAGGTGGATAACGGCACTGAAATCCAAGTACACGGCACGCATCTCATTACGTTCGGGGACCGAGTCGCGATCAACGGGACTCTGTTTTACAACCACAACAACGTACGCAATAGAGTCCCGGGCATTGCCAACTCTCCCTTGCTGAACATCACTGCCAGCCAAGATGTCCTCAGCCTCCCTTATCTTCATCGTTTAAATGAACGTAATTTGGAGGAGATACAGCAATTCAAGAAAGACGCCGGAACTGATCAAGCTTATCGTGTGGCATTCATCATTGGAGCTATATGCTGTGCTTTAATCTACATTGGCCTCACCCTTTGGCGGTTCATCGACGCAAGGAAGTCTGCGAAGCAATTACGAGAAGTCGTCGCCGGAATTGGGTCGGCCGAGGGCGGCCTTACACTTGAAGGGGGAGTAGTTAACACATAACATTTAATATAGGGTATTTCATAAGTTTATAATCAACCCTCGCTATCGCGTGTTTCGTAAGTTAAGAAACAGCCCTCGCAATTGCGACACTGCATACTTTGTATCAGCGCGCTATAACTGCAATGGTCAGCGGCGGTAACCAGATACTTTTGTTTACTGCAAGAGTTTCCGTTATTGCCTAAGATTGCTGAGTCGGCTTGCCGACCATGACATTGTGGTGTGATGCGAGTTTTGGCTTAGCTTAAGTGAAATATTCTATGTAGCTAAAAATCAGTTTTGCATTGAAGTTTGAAGAATAAACCCGCACTACTCCGGCACACCGCCGTAATCAAATTGTTATATTTCTGATCATTGCTGAGCCACAAGGCCAGTTAATAGAAAAGGGGGTGAAGTCAAACCCTCCAACATAATCATCATAAGAAGATTATAATTACCCGACCAACGCTGGACCTGCCACCGACGCCTAGCTCATCGCTGGACCAGCAACTTATTGATTAAGACTATAAATACCCGATCAACGCTGGACCTGCCACCGACGCCTAGTTCATCGCTGGACCAGCAACATATTAATTTATATACGAGTATGCTCTTAAGATTCATGCCTTTAATATTTAATTTGAATCATACGAAGTTTGGTCCCTTGGCTCGAGCGATTTTCAAACATTTCGCAAATCAAAAATAAATTTTTAAATCATTTTCCAGCTAGTTTCGAATGGAATTCCTCTTCACCAAGTCCACTTTAAAGTTAAAGCCCCAAAAACTTGCCAGCCGCAAAAACTTTGTGGCAACTAAGCTAACTTTTCAGCGAAATGTCTCCGGTGATGGCTTAGAACTCAAGATTGATTTGGCAACTGAAATTTCTTATTGATTTGATCGAAATTGGAATTTCAGGGCACAAAGAGAAAAGAAAACACTAAAGAAATTTTGAATATTGTATATTTGTTTTTACACATTTAGAAATAACACTTTGAGAGTAGTTCAAGAAGTCCGTTCTCTCAATATGCTCAGTATATATATATATAAGATTTAGTATATATATATCAGATTTGATTCATATATATTGCGTTAATAAATAGTCGTATCATCTATAAGAAATGTTCTTTTCGCATTAGCAAAGCGAACTTTTGTAGTCAACATTAAATTGCTTTAGTTTTCAATATTTTCAGGGACACACACGCACTCACACTCACACTCACACACACACATGCACTTATATTAATAAAAAATAAAATAGAAATTGTTAGAATTATTCTTTTTGTGGCTTATCAACAAAATGTTCTCAAGCGCAACGTTATTTATTTTGATTAATTAATACAAAAGCATTTTGCAAATAACAAATAGTGGGCGAGTGTGTGTGTGTGCGTGTGTGGGTGTTTAATTATATCTCTTTATGCAATCAGCAGTGAAATGTACAACAAAAATGTTCAAATCAAATCAAATTGAATTGCAAATTAAAAATCCATTTGAAATGTTGAAAACAAAAAAGAAACAAAAACTTAAACAAATAATCGACACAATGTCAATTGTCCTTGGCGAAGGCAATGTCCTGCGGAGATATCAAAATTAAAATAAAAAGACTATTTTATCAAAATTAAAATTAAGATAAAATAGAAAACATATAAATATACATACAGCGCACAGAAATTGGCTTCAAATATGCAAATTTTTTTTCATTTTCATTTTATTAATTTTTTTTCTGTTTCCTGTTGAAGCGACTAGCTATAATATAATATGTATTTGTTGCATATTGTTGTTGTTGTTTATTTAAAGTTTATTTATTTTATTATTGCAAACGAAAGGAAAACAAGTTTTTTTAACTGCAGCTAATTAAAAAGTGAGCTGAACCTCGCGATCCGTTGCCATGGCTAACAAACATTATTTCTGTAGTTAAAAACAAACAAAAAAATAATAAAAAAAATCACTAAGTAACACAGTTTTTTCACTTTTTTTTACCGTACCAAAAATCAGAAAGTTTGTCTAGATACACGCGCACACAGACGCACGCACACCCCCGCTTTCGCTCGCACACACACACACACACACACGCGCCCAGACACGCTTACTCATGGAGTAACATTCGCTCAGCATGCTCTAGACATAAGTACACCCGGCAAATTATCTAAAATTTCCTAGCTCTTTTATATGTTCGCTTAACATCTGGCTTTTTGTTGTTGGTTTCCGTTTAAATTTGGGGCTAACCCCTTCAATGCCCGCCCGCTCGGCCCACCAAATGTCCTGTGGGCTTTGTGTCTTCTTACTCAGTTGTGGGCTGTTGTTGCGGCTTCTGCTGCTGTTGTCACTTGGTTTGATGTATGCGGTAGAGTTTTCATCAGCTTAGCAGGCAGCACCTCCAGCGCCTCCTCCTCCTCCTGCTGCTGCTGCTGCTGCTGCATGTGGTTTGTTGCGTTGTAATTTGCTGTTGACGTGAAGCTGTCGCCTTCTATAAAATCAACTGTTTGCCTGCCATCCATCATTGTGCTTGGATTGGCCCAAGCTGCTGCTGCTGCTGCTTGGACGTCTGCTCCGGCTTGTTTTGACGTGAAGGCGACTGCTTCTTCTCCTGCTGCTGGTTTGTTCTGCCTCGGCTGGTCAGTTGAACTGCTTTCCTTTTCACCTGATGACGACGGCGTCTGCTGCGCTCTTTGAGCTGGCAAATTATTTGCTAATTGCTTTCCCAATGTGGGCAGCAGCTGAGGCTGTAACTCAGTCAGGCTTTCCATTGCTGCTGTTGTTGTTGCTGTTGCTGTTGTTGCTGCTATTGCTGTTGCTGTTGCTGTTGCTGTAGTAGTTTCAAGCGTATCCGGCATATTTATAATATCCGCTGCAGCGGAATTTAGATTTTTCAACATCTTAGACACGCCTGCCTGCCCTAGATCGAAACCCTGCTCCGAATGCTGCTTGGCCTGAGCTGTTTCCGCTGTTGCCCCAGCTACAGCTAATGTTTCTGCCTCAGCTGCTGCCGTCTCCCGCACGGTTACTCCTGCATCATTGATGCTGTTTGCTGCTGCCGGCGCTTGGTCTCGTCCTTGTCCATGATTTGATTCGACATCTAAAATATGCAAAGAATGGCAAAGTTAGCAATGAAATAAAGTGAAAATAAAACAGGAAATGACAGGCGCGTTACAATTTACAAAACATTCGTTTCACTGAATACTTTTCTTCTTCCATTTCTTTCTATTTCGCCAGCGAATTGAGAAATAATTTCATATTATTGTAAACACATAAAGAAGGTAGCGAGGGAGAGCTGGGCACATGGGTCGACTGGTCGGCTGGGCAGCGCACACACTCGCTTCGCATTTATATTTTATATCGTTAATATTGACTACGTTTTATGTTCGAGTGCGACGCCTCTTTGACATTTATTGCCACTCCTTTTTATACCGACAACGAATAAACAACCTTGCCAAATTGGGTATAATCCAGTTGGGCACTCACTATGAAATGCTGAATATAAATATTCTAGACGAACAATAGTGCATATTAGGCTTGAGTTCTTGGCAAGTTTCGTTGCTTTACTCTACTTTAGATTATAGATGAAATATTCAAAATTATAGATTATAGATTAAAGATTATAAATAATAAATGATAAATGATATATTATAGATTATAGAATATAGATTATAGATTATAAATAATAAATGATAAATGATATATTATAGATTATAGAATATATATTATAGATTATAAATAATAAATGATAAGTGATTGATTATAATTTACTGATTTTAGATTTTAAATAAAAAATTCAAGATTGAAGATTATTGATTATAGATTTAAGATAAAGTTTTCTTGATTATAGATTACAGATTCTAGATTAAAGATACTAGATTCTAGATTCTAGATTAAAGATATATTATTTTAGATAGAAATTATATAAATATAACATATATTATTATTATATTATTTATTATAAATACTTTAATTTAAAATACTTAAAATTTGCATCTAGACTCTTATAGTCATTCTTCTTCTTTGTTTAATAATCTAATTTATTTAATTGCTCTGAAATAAAATGGTTTTCTTTTCTCTGCTGTCTTGATACTCCATTCTTGCAGACCTTTAAATAAGATTAAGATTAGCTAACTCCGCCTTACTAAACTCTAAGCTAACTAACTTAAATTTATCAGAAATTGCGTATAAATTTATATTTTAGCTATATTAACACCATTAGTTCCCATTTAAGTTTATGAAAATCGCATAGAAAGGCTATATTTTTGTACATAATAATAATAATAATTATAATAATATATAATATTAATAATAATAATAATAATAATAAAATAATAATAATAATAATAATAATAATAATAATAATAAAATAATAATAATAATAGTAATAACAATAATAATAATAAAAAATTTGCTTGAGAGCTGCGAAAGTAAAGTCTTAAAAGTCCAATAAATACCATCAAAATGATACGCATTAAAAGCTTTACCAAAATCATATAGCTACAGTGAAGCCTCAAATTTACTTGCGTAACTCTCAACCCAAACTATTAATAGGTGTGCCCCATGGACTACATATGAACTAACGCATCTATTTCGCTCTGGGAGGAAAAAACGTTTCTTTGAATTCACATAAACACTAGTTTCCAATATTATTACAATATTAGAACATGTATAGAGGAAGTGTATACAAATTACAAAATCACAAACAGGAAAAAGGATTTTTTTCTAAATTTTAAGAAAGCTTTCCAAAAGTTTAACTAGATTTTGCGCATCTCCTGGAGTCAAAGACCGATAATCGTATCACGGGGTATTTGAGCAGCCGCAAGGACCCGTCTTGGTGCGGCTTCAGCTTGTTTGCCCACACACGAGACTATCAGAGATTTGTGTACGTTTATTTTGCGGGAGGGTTTTTTTTTGTGTTCTTTCGGTTTGCCACGCTTTCATTTTGCTTGTTTTCTGTTGTTTGGTGACTGCGTTTTCGAGTGCAGTTGAAACGAAATATTTAAATTTATCTTCCGACTGATTGCACACACGATGGGGCAGAGCGTCACAGTTATTTGTGGCCTTAGATTGTTGGCCGAAAAGCGAGTTAAAGCCGGACGCCAATTGAGTGCATTGGAGTGAACAAAACTGGGCACAACTAGTGTCCAGTCATTTACTTAGTTACCTTCGGTTGTTGCCGCTGCTGCGACGGCGGCTGTTGCTGCTGCTGCGGCTGCTGTTGCTGCTGCCTGGGCTGCTGCCTGTGCTGCTGCTGTGGCAGCCACTGCGGCAGCATTGGCTGCTGCTACGGCCGCTGCCGCACGCGTCTGCAGTCCAGGTATATCGGCCATATTGATGCGCTGCAGCCGGACATGCATCATCTGTCCATGACCATGGCCGCGGCCAAGGAATACCCGTCGTTCTGTGGCAAACTGGGCGCGTCCGTGCAACCAGTGCCCCACCAATGGCAGCCGTCTCAAATTACCCAAAGCATTTGCCAGCGCAGCGCTGGGATTGTTGTGTGCGGCTCGTGCAGCATCGCCGCCGCCACCAGCTGCTGCCCCTCCTGCTCCAACTGCTCCATTTGCTGCTGCCTGGCCCTGACGCTGGGCAGCCAATTGTCTATACAGTCGCATCACAATGACACGGGCACGTTGCAGCGCCGCCTGTTGACCAGCTACAGCTGGCGCTGGAGCAGCGCCGCCATTACCGCCCCCACCGCCGCCGGCAGCGGCGGCAGCAGCAGCTGCCGCATTTGCTTGATTTCGCGTGATGAAGAAGACATGACGCTGTGCCATAATGGCGGGCAGCTCGTACCGATGAAAGAAGAATACCATGGAGTGCTGTGCAGGAAGAGATAGAGAGAGAGCGAGTGAGATAGAGCGCACATAGTCAGACAGAGCGAGAGAGACAGAGCCTGAGAGAGACTGCGTTATGCAATGGAGCTCAGTCCTCTTGTCAGGCACGTGACGGGATGCTGTCTACACGTGAGTCCGCATTCAAATAGAGACAGCCAGACACGCAGACAGTCGGACAACAGACAGTTGAACAATAATGCGCTGGGTAATTTGTCATGCAGCTGACAGGCAGCGCTTGGCTCCAGTTGCGTAAGAATTTGTTTTTGTTTGCCTCGCATAGTTACCTACCTGAATGAAGAGATACGACGAGAGCAGGGCCAGGCTACGATATTGTCCACTGAAGCGATAGTGATACGCATAGAAGGCATAATGATATAGGTAGAAGAATCTGTAAGCAAACAAACAAATAAACAAACAAGCAAACATTCCATTTCAGTTAATACAACAGCCACTTCGTCCGGTTCCTCCTCTTCCTTGGATTGTCGTAACCCTTGTCAAAAAATATAGATACACTTGGGTCTAGGCCGCGATTACCATTCAATAATATCGCATTTAACATTGCTCAAATAAAAAGCAACAAATTATTGTTTTGTTGCTTCAATGCTGTTTACCTACCGCCTCTGTCTGCCTGTCGGCTGGCTTGGCCAAATGCCAACTAAGCTGAGTGAAGAAATGGGTCAGATAAGACGGACAGACAGACGCAAGAACTGTCCTGTAGCAACAACAGTTGGAAAGCGGCGCAGGCATGACATAAGTAACGCCTTCAACTGACAACAATAACACTTACAACAATTGATATAAACGGCCGATTGCCGCACCAGCTTGCCCGACGCTCAGATATCCTGCTTTTAGTTAGTTCATAGTCAAGCTAAGTGTGTCAGTTGGTTGAGTTAGAAGAGAAGTAGCTAAAGATATGTTTAGATATATAGAAAATTTCTAAAGCTCATTAAGACTCTGCAGATTCACATTCAGAAGATGCTAAGCCCTGTGCTTCAGTTATTGCCTGTATTTTGGTTTCTTTTCATAGTTTGAGCATGTCTTAAGTCTTTTCTGTAACTGCGTAACCTTGAATGTCCTTCATCTGCAACTTCTTTAAATGTTTCTTTCTGTCTTCTCTTTTTTATTTAACTTTTCTCTACTTCTGCCCGCTTTTCTCTAGCGCATTCCGCTTGCCTCTAGTGTTTCTCCAACTTCTGTCAAAGGCTTGCCGATCGTCTCTTATCCTTCTCGCTGCTCTTTAAGGATTATCTCTTCTCTCAAGTGGCTCTCGCCTTACTCTAGTGCTTTCTGAGTCTATGTGCCGCTTCACACTTCTTTGTACTGCTTCCCGCTTCTCTCTAGTGCTGCCTGCTTCTCTCCAGTTCCTCTCGCTTCTCTCTTCCAACGCTTCCCACTTTAATTTGTTATTTGCTGCGCGTTTGAGGCGCTTCTCTTCTATACAAAACTTAAGTGTAATAATTTGTTTGGGCTGTTGCTGTTTTAAGGTTTCTCTCGACTTCTTTGTCATTGCCATTGTCTCTATGCTGCTCTTCGAGCTATGTTTAGACTTAGCTTAAGACTTGACGTAACAATTGTCTCTGGCATATGCCGACTAAATATATAATTGATATATATGTATACCTAATGACAATTGTTATATTTATAGGGTATATCAACAATGGCGAGGACACTCAAGAGGATTTAATAATATAAATAATTGCTGGCGTTGTGTTAGTTGAATTGTTGTTATGCAAGCCAAAGACAACAAATAACAAACACAATGAACGACTGGCAAAATGATAAGGAGCAGGAGGTGGACTGGACGGGAGGAAGCAGCCAGAACAAAGCCATAACCATAAGCAGCGCCAGCAACAGCTACACAGAGTCGTCAAGAGTGTCCGGCGGAATTCAACTTTAATTTATTTTTACAATGCCGCTGGACATTGCGACATTGGGTGTGGGCGTGGGCGAGGGCATGGCCATGATTGAGTTATGTTATTGAATTTAATTTGAGTTGATTGTGCACACACATACACACAAACAGAAATAGACAGGGAGAACGAACATCACAATCGACAGCGACAAATGAAGACACACGACACTTATTTGGCTCGTAAGCCTTTCCAGAGGGCGGCAGTTGGCCTCATGTGGCAGGCGGCAGGCGGCATGCGGCATGCGACATGTGGCGGCATTATAGACACATCGTGCCAAACACTTTGCACCACCAGCCGAACACATTTCGCAACCCACAGCAAGTGAGAGGACATTAAGCACTGGAAAATACCCTGAGATTCTAATCTATAAATTCGGCAGATCATTTTATGATAATGCCAAAAAACTTGATACAATATTTGACTTCTTCAATAAGTGGAATAATATTGATAAGTATATTATATATGAGAATCTGAATACCTAGTTTAATGCCTATAACGTGTATAGTTCTTGAGTTAATTATAATATATTTAAATTATAAGCCAAGTATATAAGAAAAGAGGAAGATCTTTAATCTTTATATACACCAATGATGAGCTACATACAAAATTGATTATATGTAATTACTAGTTCTTGAGATATGCACAAAAAACCAAGCCCTTAAATATCTCTTAACTATATTTAAGAAGTGAAATATTCTAGATCTATATACACTCTCTAAGTAAGCATAAACAAATTTTGATAGCTCTAGCGCACATAGTCCTTGAGCTATGCTCGATTTAAGCTCGATCAGAAATCCTTCAATACATTTAACTATTCGTCTCTGCGCTCTGTCGCCTGTCACATGCTTAAGCATAAAAGCAACTTGCACCTGTTTACCCATTGGCTGTGCGTTCAGGGTATGCCTGGCAAAAGAATAAAATCAACCCGAAGACACGTAGACAACACTTATCGCTTGTTCGTTTCCGTTTCATTCGCTTTCCTAATGTTGCGTAGCGTTGACAAGCGTCAAGCGGGCGGAACAGCCAGCTCCTTACCCATCCATCCGGCCCTGCTGCCACCTACCCCGCCTGCTGCCAGCTAGCGGCGTGTCGCAACGGATGTGCGCTGAGGAAGTGCTATTGGGATTCATATCCTTCGACGGAACGGAAATGAGGGCAAATGATGTTGCAGCAGCAGCGACAGACGTAAACTGGCTGGTAGAAAGGAGCAAGGGGCAAGCAGGGGGCAGGGGCAGGGTCGGGGCTTAGACACCGGTTAACAGCTCAACTGTTGCATGTGCGAATGTGGGCGCGTTGCATGCTTAAATAAGGAGACACCCCAAGCCAAACAAACTGCCAGACAGCCAGCAGCTAACAGGTGCGTCAGGGCAGGTGGACGCACACTGATCCGATCGGCGCTGTCAGAAGTGTTTATTTGCTGCCAGCAAACACACAAGCAATAGCAGACGAAGACGGCGATGAAGGCGAAGGCGGAGGCGAAGGCGAAGATGGAGTTGCAGCAGCTGCAAGGTGCAGCTGTTGCAAGAGTTGTATTCCACGTATAATGGGTAAAGTGCTCAATGAGCTTGCAAGCACTTGAGCTACACACACACACACACACACACACACACACGCACACACACACAGCATTTGCATATTGGTTAAATCGTTTGAGTGAAATGCCATATGAATATTACGATGTTGGCCAAGTGCGCTTGCCACATTAATCCAGACGATTTGGCTAAAGTGCAACGAGATATGCGCATACCTGTTGCTGCATTAATTGATTAGAATCGATTTGCATTAAACGCACTCTGAACAGGTAAGAACAAACACCTGTCACTTGACAAAGATAGCCTAATCTCTATGTTTCTGCTTCTATATATGGCTAAGTCTGCTCTCTGCTAGTTAAGTTAAGAGTTTTGTTAACTATATCGAAATCTGTTGTCTGCTGTGAAGTTATGTTGTCTAAAATCTCTAGAATTTCAATACGACCTAGAAGTGTTGAGCGTCCTAGTTACAAGTTATCTAACTTGGCCCAAACAACATGCATTTAGCCAATCAAATTGCTTGGACTCAGAATTTGATTAGCGTCAAAAATTTAGCGCTTTTTATGTATTTGAAAATATGGAAGTTTCACAATATTTTTATTACAAAGCGCATTTATGTACCTAAAATAAATGAATTAAATTGAATAATTAAGATTACACTCAGTTAACAGAGCTCAGAAGTTCATAGTCAGCATCTGCTCGACAAATTATATTTGATATCTGAACAAAATATAAACTGCTTGGTGATTTTGTAAAATTTATATATATGAAATATAAAAAAAAATCAAAATTGTAAAAACTTTAAATTAAACTAAATACAAAATTTACCCACTCCAAAGATATGAGATATATGTTTAAATAACTAAAACTCAATATTAATTTTCATGGAATTCAAGAAAAGCGCATTGATAAATGAAAATAAAAAAATAAATGATAAATTAAAAAATGATAAATGAAAGCTAAAGCTGAGCCACACTTTAGCATTTATCTACAACATTTGAAGTCTTTACTTATTACAGTCTTCTAAATCCGATACATTCAATGCATATAGACTAATGTGGGGCAGATCTAGCTCCGACTAATTCAGCTTATTAAAAATATATCTTGATCTGCCAAACAGTATTTATATATGCGCCTATGCCTGCTTTTTGTCTGCTCGCAGTCATAAGAAATATAATATATGCTGTCATAAGAAATGTAATAGCATTACTTGAGCTAGCTCATGTTATATTTCAATTAAACTCAATTTAAAAAAACTGAAACTCAATTTAAAAAATATAAATTTTAGGTAACAATTCGAGGCTTTTGAAGTTAAGCTATGCTAATACGTAAGAGAAAGTCTCTGTTAACAAAATGTTAAGTCAATGCAAATCGCTGTTATTAACAGACTATTCAATTATGTAAAGAAAATGTTTAGCTTAAAGCATTTTACTTTGATAAATAATAATAATAAACTGCTAAATATATTGAATGTCGTATATCTATGCATATAAATTATTACTTCATAAACATATTAGATTTAAATAAAAGTTAATTAAGGTAATATACATATAAATAAATATATATATATATAAATAAATGTAAATATAAAATATATATAAATAAATATGATATACATTTGAATTTGAGTTAGGTAATTTTAATTGATTCGACTAATTAAATGAATTCGATTCATTGCAATTTATTATATAAGCATTAATTCAATATTTGAATAGTAAACTCGACTCGTAATATGCCGATTGCTATGCCAAGCAAATGCTAAAATTGATTGAAATTTTTAGAAGTACAATCAAAAATGCCAATTAACGCAGATGCAAGCAGGCACTCAATACACATACACACGCACACACATATACGCACACACACGCACACAATTGTTGTAAAAACGTGACAAATATTAACGAATTTTCTGAAAAATCTGATTCACTTAATTGAAATATAACAAA